GGTACCACTTATTTGTCATAATTTTCGAGGTTATATGATTCTCATTTGCTTATAGTAGTTAGCAGAATTGCTTCTGATAAGCTTAAATGTATCCCAGAAAATATAGGTAAATATAAAGCTATGGATGTTGGACAATTTCGTTTTCTGGATAGTTTCCAACATATGGCAATGGGTCTTGATAAGCTAGTTACATGGTTTAGGAGAAATGCTAGAAAAATCTCCTCCTCTAACAGTAAAGCATTTTACTAAAAAGGGATATTCATTAGAGCAGATAAAACTTTTAATCCGAAAAGGTGTTTTCCCATATGACTGGACAAATACATGGGAAAATTTTGAACGAACAAATCTTCCCCGCAGAAAGGAGAACATCACGACTTATATCTTGAAACAGATGTACTTTTACTTGCAGACGCTTTTATGAACTAGAGTATTAAGTATTTACAAGATGACGGTTTAGACCTCACTCATAAATTTTTTAGTTTTAGCAAGAACAAGAATTAGTCATTTGAAAAAGATTTTCATGTATATTGAATAGATTAAATGACGTAATTATACACGCGTCAATAATAATCTAAACTATCCATACTACTCGTACTATTCTGGGTTCGGAAGTGGATCCTCGGCCTTTAGACCCCATCGAACGAGAAATTTTCTCTTTAAAGACAACCCCGTACATATACTGTACAGTTAACATCAAGCTCGATCATTATTCGTTATAAACCTATTATGTTTCGGATCTGTGGAGTCTGGAATATTACGCATATATTGAATTTGTAGAGGCGGTGTGAATGGTCCTTTTCGACGCTTGTAATCTTTAGCAAATTCACATACACGTCTCTGAGAATGCAGATCGTAAAGTTTAAAATAAGAAAATGATATATATACATAACCAAAATCTGACATACCTCTAAGGCCACAAAATGAGCAAGGTTTGATTCGACCAAAGGCAAACTGGGTTCATCAATCGCCAATTTGGTTGTGAGAATGGGGCCATGATCGATATAGTCCATCAAATTGGAGGTCCATAAAATACGTTTGTACAATATCACCTGTGTCAATTGGAAAGCCTCGAGTAAATAAAGATAAAAACGAACAAACCATGATTGAGGAGCATCACTGTTTCTCCTGGACCGCCTTTCGATGTCAATTGCTGATTAATTGTCTTTCTTGCCCGCAAATGAACTTTACAAAATCCTTTTTCTTGCTTAAAGGACAGACCCCCATTGGCTTAATCTCAGAGTTTAATAAAGGTACATCATCCACGACACACGAAAGGTCAGGTCTTTGTTTCATGCCCCTGACGGCACGATTTAACCGCACTTCGTAATTATTATTTTTCTTCAGAAAAATCGGTTATATAAGGATTCAGAAATGAAAGGCAATGTTCATCCTCGGAAGTTCTTTGTGGTGCAAGATCGGGTACATTATATCTCCTAAGTGTGTTAATGAAGTTTATTAAAAAATTCAATAAAAACAAATGTATATACATGTATATCAACCTACAACTCATTGAAGGTTCGTGCAACTGCTCTACTCAATGGAGTTTCATCTGCATGCATATAACTGTCCTGGCCTGACAAATGCTTAATTACAGCTTCATATAAGGCAGTTGATACTGAAGCTGATATCACTGGCTCATGGATTGTATATTTGTTTGTTAGAGTTATAGTCTGCCACTCTTCGTCGGTAAAATTTGGATAAGGACAGTTTCTACAGAGCACAATTATGGATGAGAGTGCCCTAAAGTGTAATTTAAAATGATATTTGCATGTGAGCACATTTACGTAAATTTGATATTGAAATCGTCTATTGACCGTGATTATCATAGGTGCTGTTACTTACAAGACTTCGTATGTGTTTTGCCAGGTTAATCCGGTCGAGAACCTCTTCGACCTCATCTTCATAGTCATCTCCTGTTTCGATCTTACCCGTTGTTTCAATTTTGTCTTTATTATCATCTATTGTTTCGGTCTTATCTTCATCTTCATCCGTGATTTTGATTTTTGTCCGTTTTTCCTAAGATGATTAAAATTGTTGTTCACTAAGAACATATAATAAGACAATTGGTTCTAACTAAAATGCACATCTGTACCTCTTTTTGATGCTCTTGATTTCTTTTTTTGAAACAAATTTTGTACTAAAGGTTCCTTCGTTAACTCCAACAGACCCAACTACAGTGCTGTCTGTAATTATCGGTTGATGGAAGTGAACTTGAGGTCCAGTAATATCTTTGGTCGATTTACGTTCTTTTTCCCATTCTCTTGCTTCTTTACGGTCAGGCCGAGTATCCTAAGACAAAAGACTTTGAAAGATTAGTAATATTCTTGACCAGTACTTTCATCTGATTTTCGTCCTTTCGTCCTATTCCATCAGGTCGACTAACAGTCTTGAACAATAGACAAGCTAGCAGGTTGCCCATGCCCCAATGGTACAAACATCAAATCGACTAACAGTCTTGAACAATAGACAAGCTAACAGGTTGCCTATGCTTCAACGTTTGTTTTGTGGCTCGACTAACAGTCTTGAATGAACAGACAATCTAGCAGATTTCTGCCACGCCACTTATTCCAATAAAAAAATAACAAAGGGTTCGTCACTCGCCTTCTTATATCTATCAAAAAGTTGCCGAGCTTTTTGCCTTTCTCACGATTAATAATTGTTTTAAGACTTTTGATATATAAATCTGTTTTCCGTTTGAAGGGTTCTGCGTCGCACTCGTTTAGAAATCCCAAAATACATCATTCCGTTCGATTAAAATATTCGTGTACTTCGTCATTAGACATCATATTACGCGTCATATTACACTTATATAATTATTATTAAGCGGATGGATTGTAACACATCATTAATAATCATTACTAGTCATTACTAGGTAAGGATCATCAATTCCTACATCCGCATGCGGATGGCTCCATCAAGCAATGCCCACAGAAAGATCCCAACAGTTCTTGCACTTATAAACTCTTCTTCCACCAATGTTTTGGATGTTTCCACAACAGCTACAGGTCTTAGAGGTGTACGCCTCATCCTGAATAATCACCATTACACCTGTTTTCTTGGCCTTGTGTTTCAGCTGTTGCCAGAATGCATAATGCGACCAGGTAAGCATACTTCAAATTACTTTTGAATTGATTTTTTGTCTATCTCGTTTTATCATATTCTTTACTTTAAATTCAGGTATGATTACAACATTATAGTTTTGGATCAAATAGTTTACTATTTTCTTGTGAAGCTTCTTATGTAAATTTCTAATCTTTCGAAATATTCTTGCAATTGCACTATTTAATCTCTTTGTCTTTGCTTTGATATGGAATTGTTTAAAAGATCTCTCTTGGAACTTAATCTGTCAGCATGTAACCCTAATCAAATCAATCTTTGTTCATTATTCTTTCCAATTTTCATTATGCTTTCGGTAGGTAAATACATAACAAATGGAGTTCACACTTCAGGATCAATAGCTACAAACTTTTCATAGCTTTCCTATTTTGTTTTGATTTTTCATGGATCCATGAGAGAATTCAATCATTTGTTTTTTGATAATAGATAACCTTACAATCACAATCAATTTTTTTAAATGGCTATTTGTTATATTTTCATTAGGTTTCAAAATATAAAGATCATAGATTATATATGTGGTATAAATTATTTTGCTATTAACTCAAATTACTAAAATCCTTAAAAATAATTGTGTCTGACTTAATTATTTTATATGTTTTAATAGTGACTCAATTAATTGCATCAAATAATTGTGTCAAATTGTATTAAGGATTTATCAATTTCTACCATATGTATATCATAGATCTTTCTTGTTTTGTGTGATTATACAGGGTTTCTTTCTTGGCATGCATATCATTTGGTTGTACATTGATTGATTATATAGGTATGACACATAAAAATGATTCCAATTTTTTTTTGAAAAATTTTGTGATCAGATACTAATGGTATGCATGAAATCCTTTTTTGATTTAAATTTTAATATAGATCTTTGGTCTTTCTGATTATGGTTCTTGATCATCTCATCTATTGTCTCATCAATAATATTATTAGGAATCTTCTCATAGATGTTCCTAAGCTTAAGCTCAAGATATATAAGATAACAAAGATTTTGAGTATATAAGCAATTAAGATAAAGTTGAATGGATGTTCCATTTAGATACATCTGAACTCGAGGTTTAAAGTAAGCAATTATTATATTATAGATTAATCTTGCCAATTCTATCCATTGTTTCAATAAGCATTTTTATGCATGATTTGGATATAATTTCATAAGAAGAGTTCGGTTCACACTTTTATCTATTTTTCATTTTTTCATTTTTCTCATTATTGAAATCTTTTTTCTTTTCCCTCTTTTTTCTTCAATGTTATATAAATCTTTTTCCTTGTATTCTGCAGTTGAAAATAGTATTAATGGCAAGGATATCTTTAGAGAACTTATGTTTGTCAATTGTTAAATTGTTAAAAAAAATCATGAATTATATATTAAAGACAAATTAATAGAGTCGATTGCAGTAAATAACTATAACTTCTGAGATTATTTCACAACTTGCTTATTCCAATACGGTCTTAAGCCATGGTTGCTTGAAATTAATGTTTGAGCTGATGTCATTAAATTTGTGAGTTGAGAACTGAATTTTTTTTTGTTGTTCAAGATCTTTTTGCTTAGCATATAAACATATTTTGATAATGAAATTAGTGGTAATGATAATGGTAGTGGTGGTAGCAGTAGTGAATTTAACAATATTTAGAAAAGTTGTCTCAAGAAAAAAAGAAGAAATGTCATAAAGGTGAGTTTCAGATGAAATTGTGATGTGACAATTATCTAACTATCCTTCTTTTCACTTATTAATTATGTTACGAATATGATTGTTTATAAGATTTTTACTAACTTACATCTGTTACTCTAATTCTACTTCTATTTATATTTAGCTGCGACACGTCCACCAATCTAACATCACATCATGTAAATTTCCAACATATTTACTTTCCTCTCCATACAGTTGCATAATCTGATGTATCGCATCATGCAAATCTTTAACAGACTGATGCATCATGCTATGTCATATAACCCTGTCTCTCCTATTATTTCTTCTACTAATAGTACATTGAAAAAAATAATGTAAAAATTAACAAACTAATTTAATAGGTTAGACATATTCAGTAATTTGATTGATAAATTATCAATAACCATTTTTTGCACCTAAATATTATTTGTCTTTGACTTATATAAATTTCGTCAATATGATCTATACGAATAATGAAAAACAAGACATATTTTCAAAAAAAGAAGATACCTTGGTAATTACTCAATACCTTCTTTCTCCAGATTTTAAATACATGATTTCGTCTTTTATTAAACAACTTGGATTTTTCAGGTGAACATAGGCAAGAGAATTGGAATGATTGTTGGTTTTCCAACTTCTGAATACATTTTATAATTTAAAAAAAAATTTAAAGGTCTCGTCATTGGATTCATTGGTAATCCTTACAATTTTCTGAGATTTTTTACTCATGGATTATTATAGAAATGTGAAACAATTATGAAGTCTTTGGAACATAACGGTATTTACTAGAATATATGCAGCTATTTCTCTCTTCATTTTTCAAACTTTTTTTTCCAACAGATTCTTTGGAAACAAGCATATTGACCATCTCTTCGAACAAGTAAGACGATTACAACAATGAGTAATATTTTTTTCAATCCATAAACTATTTCCTGATTCTATTTTGAACTTTTTAGTAGCGATTCATTAAAGGAATACATTATATTGGATGGTAGTGACATCATAAAAGGAGTAGGTTTTCAGCTGTTTTTTAATATGAAATTGTATGATAATCATTTTCTTTTATAACTTGATAAGAATTATAAGTAAAATTACCAATTTACAATCAGGAAAATTTGATCAAGTTAATGATCCACTCTAAAAAACTGTATTTTATTGAACAGATAATTCTTTTAAAATACAATATCCAACTTGTTTTTGACCTATTTATACTGATCTTTTTTTAATTTTAGCTGGTAGATGCACAGAATTTATATTATGTTAGCTTTGAATACATTAGAATGTTCAAGTCAAGCTTGTAAAAAAAAAAGCATGTCCAAAGTGAATAATGGAAATATTCTAGTGTACGAGATGTTCGATGATTTATTATAATTAGGCAAAATACTATATATCTATCTATTATCTTCTAGGCATTATCCTCGAATATATATCTCATAGTCAATTGGCTTTAAATTGTGTCAGTCAGGAAAAGCTATTTCCATACAAGATTTGTGTGATTCTCAAGTATATATCGTATTGAATAATATTTATTATTCTCCCCTCAACATTCACTTCCTCAAAACAATAAGTTTTATTATTTTGTAAAAATGTTCAGTTCAAATTTGCCTGAAGATTTGGTTATTCAATTTCATGTTAAAGGGTCTTACATAGTAAACTTGATGTATGCCCTTCAATTCCACTTATTATTATCACAACAAAAGAATAGTAATATCTTGCAAGCACATAAACAACCTTCCAAGATGTGGTATTCTTGTAACATGAAGTTAGCAAAGCATCCTTCTTCCTTAATTAGCTTCATTAATGATCCTTAATTCTATCCATAACAATCTTGAATCTCTGTAAAGTCACTATAAAGACAAGTATACTTCCATATTGGAAGAAGTTTCAGTTAAATCTCCAGATCCAAAATTAGTAGAGGTTATGGAAAGTTTAAAAAACTAAAAAGAGATTGCTTAGCATGAAAAAGCAAAATTTCATTATTTTGATCTCACCGAAAGGAAATAATATCTTTGATGAAAGGATAATATCTTGATAAAAGCTGACAAGCATATGATTAGAAATTATTGTCTTGAGTTATTTTCTTTTGCTGTTGCAGAATCCCAATATCACCAAGAGATTTAGACACTATAACCACTTGTGATGAGGTCCATTCAAATAATAAACAAAAACTAGAAACAATCTTATTACAGATTAACTCTATATCTAAGGTATATATTATAAAAAATATTAGATTTCTTTCAAAAATGATGATATGTTTTTTGTGGAAGAGTGATGGATATAACAATATAGGCCTATGTTGCTATTTATATCTGAATATACGTAATATTGTTTTAGCATATGTTTTAGCTTGCAGAGTGCTGACACTATAAGTATCAAAGGGTGCAGTTCAGGAGATTTGTTGTTCTGGTATGAATCTTTACATTAGGTTTGGTACGAGCTATGTCTTGTATATCTCATCGCTGGCCGTGGACATAAATCTTATAATTATTATAAAAAATGAATAACCTTACAATAACTGATTTTATGAGATATTTTATATAAATATCTTACCTTAAGAATATTATTAAATTATATTTATATGGACACTAACGTGTGGTGTAAGTATGTACAACCATATCACTATATGTAGGAATTGTGCCCTGCTTGGCATTTATACCTCTAGATTTGACAGCTTAAGTCAATTGAGAGCCTATGGAGTGTTTATTAAGAGATTTAGAAGTCGTGTCTCACTTGGTCAGCAACTGAGCCCCCAGATTTGGTAGTATATGCCAACTATAGGAATAACTCAGAGCATTTACTAGGAAGTGCATATATATATGAATCCCATCTACAGCTGCGTAAGCTGAAGACGTGATTCAAACAAGACGATTTATAGAAAATTAGCATGTGTTGATTAAGAAATGTCTTCGAAGTCAAAGTATAGATCCATTTCTGAGGTGTAAGTTGGTATTTAAGTAGAAATGGGTAGGTAGCATCAGTTAAACTAGACTGTTCATGTGTTGATCATGTAATCTATAAAAATGATTAAATAAAGTCTCATATATATTACACTTAATCCAAAAAAAAAATTATATTTATTTCTAAAATCATTAATAAAGATAAGATTTAACCTTTTTAATTATGTATATGCATATTGAGTAATTTTTCTTGGTTTCGCTAACTTCACTGATGTAATGATATATACTTTGAAGAATATTTATTGGTCATGTTATACTAGAAAAATAATTAATATGCGATATCCACTTATTATCATTTGTGTCAAGATACCAGGTGTGACAGGATAATTGCTGAAATTTCTATAGAATTCGAAATCTGAAGCATGGACCAAATATCATCTGCCAAGATTAAGGATTCTAACGATTCTGTATTCGATTCTATTCGATTCCAACTCTTATAGTAAATTTAATAGGTGGTTATAACTAAAGATGAGTTCCTAAATTATTTGTAAGGACATAATTCAAATGTCCCTTACTATTAAAAATTTTCATTTCTATATTAAGGAATAAAAA